AAAAACATAGTCTAAACCAGAGGTTCCCAAACTGTGGGGCGCGCCCCCACTGGTCTAAACTAAGCTTCCCTACCAACAAATAAAATTATAACAAAAGGTTAGATATGTTCTTTACAAAGTACTAAATCAGACCTTTGTGGCACGCAGTGAATCTTTTTCAAGATTTTTCAATAAAAATTATCGAGTGCATAATTTGACATGAGAGAATCAGAAAGTAAAGAAAAATTGAGTCATAAAACTGGTAATGAAACATCTGAAAAGAGGAATATAAATTCAGATGTAAAATGAAATTATTTGACCATCACCATATCGTGACACCGGGGGGCGCTGTTCACCACGTAGACTGAAATATTGATGTTTAAATCTTCTGATGTCATCAGAAAATGTAAAGTTAAAGTATTTTATCCTCAAATACTTAAAAATGTTTATAGATATAAAAGGTCACATAAATGTCAAAAAACAGAATTTAATTGATCAACAGAAAGTTGATGAAGTCGCAGCCACAAAGAGCAGAACCAGAACCAGAATGTTCTGGTGGAAGTGGATCAGAACCATCAAGTTTCCAGCTTTTAGTTGGTTGGAGGTTTAATGTGTTAGAACAACAATCAGGTCCAACAGAACCTCAGCCTGGTCCGGGTTCATGTTCAGGTCCAAGAGATCAGAGTCAATCTGGTTCTGAATGACAGGATGCAGAGAACCCAGATGGTTCTGATGAGACCCAGAAGGAGTCAGCAGAGGATCTGGGGGTTGCCATGGTAACAGGACCCTGAGGTCCGATGGAAACCAGTGCAGAGCTGGTCCTCAGAGACCAAACCAGTTAGAGGTTCAGCTGTGATGGAGACGTCCAGACTCCTCTGACGGGTTGAACCAACGAGACCGGATCAGAACCAACATGGCCGCCTGCTGCTGGTTGACAGGAACTAAACAACATGAATGTTTGTCTCAGTGGTTTGAGTTTCTGTCTCAGTGGTTTTGTTGCTGCTTTGTTTGTTCCTGTGAGCTGAAATCTTCCTGCTGCATCAAGAGAAAAACAGAAAAACTGATCAGAGTTTAGATTCAGCTGCTGGTGTTTCAATCTTTACTCTAATTATTATCATGTATTTGAGCCATTGAACAGCCTGATGTGATTCACTGATGGAGCTGATTGCTGAGCTGTGAGTTCAGCTCTGAGCTGTTTCTCTCTCAGATGAAGAACACAGGTGCTTCCTGAACCATTGTTTCAGTCGATGCTTGTAACTGTCATTGTGTTATTAAAGTGAGAAGCCACAGCTAACGGTGTGGAGGCTGCAGAGCACAAACCCACACAGCTGCAGGACGAGGCGAGAGCTGCTGCTGGTCTGATGACGATCAAACCCAGCATGAGATTAACGCTAATCTGATCCAACTGTCCAAACTGCTTTAACCTCATCCTGCTCAGCTGCATTCATCTGTAAAAATCTGTACTGTTTTTTATTTTATTCTGTTTATTGTTCTTTATTCTTGTCTCCAAATTCACAGCATTTTTCTACATTTTCTTTATCAATGAATGATTTATGAATCTTCAGCTGGTCATTAATTAATGATCAGAGTTTTATTCAGAGACGCTGAGATTCAAAAGCAAATTTGAATGTTTTTATTTTAAATATAGAATAATAAAACTGACTTCAAATATTAAATCACAGCAATAAATTATATGATTGTATTTATTCAGACAGTCATGTATTTATTATTATTATTATTATTATTATTATTATTATTATTATTATTATTATTATTATTATTATTATTATTATTATTAAATGAAACAGGATGAGTTGAATCAAATTCTTTATTAATTAAATCTTATTTCATCAAATATATGGAATACAGAAAATCACCTTACATTCAAACTGATAAAGATAAAATATATTCTGATTTAATTTGAGTAAAGAGGTTCAGCTGGCAGAAGCAGAAAACATTCATAAACTGGGTAAAGAATAAAATAAAATAAATTCTTTGCAATAAAAACATTAAATGTAAACAAAGCAGAAATATGCAACATTTCAATAAATGGCGATGCCTCAAAAGATGAAGAGAACCTTCACATTCCTAAAATATTAATGATGTTTTTATCTCCTGCTGGATGAACAGTATAGAAATGCAGCATATAGAAGCGTTTTCATGTTTACGATCCAGTCTGAACAGAAAATCCTGAAGTTTTACATTCATGTCTGAAGCTGCAGGACAAACTGGGGACCATCAGTCGGCTCTGCTGGTTCCACAGACGCTGATCAGGGAGAGGCCGCAGAAGTAGAGCAGACTCTTGGCAATGAGCAGCGAGTAGATGAGGAAGAGGAGCTGCTGGCTGAAGCCCAGAGATTCAGTGGGGGGCGGAGGGCCGGCGGGGCGAGGGGCCACTGAGAGAAACACAAGATATCAGAATATCGGAATATTAGAATATCAGAATATCAGAATATCAGAATATCAGAACATCAGAACATCAGAATATCAGAACATCAGAATATCAGAACATTAGAATATCAGAACATTAGAACATCAGAACATCAGAATATCAGAACATCAGAATATCAGAACATCAGAATATCAGAATATCAGAATATCAGAACATCAGAACATCAGAATATCAGAACATCAGAATATCAGAACATTAGAATATCAGAACATTAGAACATCAGAACATCAGAATATCAGAACATCAGAATATCAGCTGCTGAAGGGAACCAGAGCTGCTTAATCGCTCTGTTACATTTACCTGAGTAACTTTAAAAATTGTATTTTCACTACGCTGTAATTTTGCTTTTACTTGAGTAATTTTATTGTTAAGTATCTCTTCTGTTACTGGAGTAAAATTTATGGATTGATTGATAATTTGATCAGTTCCTCTGTACTTTTTACTAAATACTGTTTTACTTGAGACACTTTCTACTTTAACTTGAATAAATTTTCTGGCCTCTCCGCCTCTTCTGTCAGTAACTTACAGCTGAATCCAACCGGATCTCTGAGTCTCTTTACCTTTTTGTGAGCGTGACTCTTTAGCGCCCCCTTCATGTTGGACGGAGCAGCGGTACTCGTAGGTGTGCTGAGGATCCGGATCCACCATCCTGATGGAGGAGAAACGATCCGACTCTCTGATCTCCAGCTGCTCCGCTCCAGCAGGAAGAACCTCCTCCTTCCCGTCCTCCTTCTTCCTTTTCCAGGTGAACCGGATCACCGGCGGAAACATTCCTGAAGCGACGCATAGCAGCGGCTCCTTCCGGTCCGGCTGCAGACCGGAAACCGCGGAGTACAGGCTCACCTCAGGGTCCTTCCGCTTTCTGGCATCTGAAGAGTCTGTAGAGAAAAAAACATTTTAATAAACACCAAAACAAAACATATCATCATAACAAAGGCAGGAATTTAACTGAAACATTGTTGGAAAGAAACAAAACAAGAAATGATCCAAAATAAATGTAACTAAATTCTTGAAGGATTTTCCAGCCAAAAGTTTCAGATGTGATGAAAAAACACAAATGGAACCGATAAATAAACTGTCTGCAACAAAACTCATGATTTTTATTTATCTGTCACTGAAATCCTTAAAAATATATATTTATGTAAATAAAGGCTTCATAAAACTCCCAACAGCAACAATAAGATCCTTTTCATATGAATATATTGCATTCTAATAATAATAAGCATAATAATTATTGCTATTATTAGTGTGATAAAAAAAAGGTTTTATTGTTGTTGCAAAATAAGTTTCAGAGATTTTAATTGTTAAAGTGACAAATTATTTTTGCTTAACCTGAACTGGATAAAAAAAACTTATACAAATAAAATAATTTATGTAATTAATGAAATATTTGATGTTCCAACATATAAAATATCAAAAATATATTTCAAATCAATATAAATATTTTCACAAGTTTTTTAAAATATATGTTTTAAATTTCAGAATGAATTGTTTGTTTTATAGTTTGTTGTATTTTAATGTTGTTCAGTATAAATATTTAAGTGAAAATAAAAATAAAATGAAGATGTAAAAACACCAAATTACCAACATGAATAATTAATAAAATATGATTAATTTGTAACTTGAAAAATCTGGGCTGTAATATAAAGTGTTGAAATAAATAGGAACAAAAAATGAATTTAATAAGTGTGTATAAGTTCCACATGGACTTTGTTTTATTATGCAAGGAAATAATGGAAACTTAAATTTGATTTTTAAAGTTTTTTTTTTTTTTTACAATTCACAAACTGCAGTAAATTTACAAGAATAAAATATCAAACTCTTTGGAAAAAACATAATTTAATTTAGGTTTGATCTCAGTTTTAAAGTTGATGCAGAATTTACCGATATATTTTTACATATTTTATAAGAATAAAGTTTACATGTTTAGTAATGAAAGGTGTAATTTTACATTTTGCAGAATTCTTGTGTAAATTAAACAGATTTAAACCAACTACAGTTTTCTGCTCTGCTTTTATTTAAATTTAATTTTAACCTCAAATTTAACATTTTGTTTCTGTTCCAAATATTTTGAAAAGTAAAATTCTAGCTATCTTTACATCATACATGATTATGAGTCTAATAAAATGTTTTAGTCTTATTGTCAGCGTGCGGATCAGGGGTGTCCAACACGCGGCGCGGGGGCCGTCAGAATGATTCATTTGGTTTGATGCAGATTCAAATTTTAAGAAAATGAAAATGTTCTGGAGCAGGATTGACTAAAAAGACGATTAAAAACTTAAAACAAAACATTTAAAGCAAAACAAAGTATTAATATTCTACCAGCCATGATTTTACTTTTTCTTTATTTTAAACAGAACCAGAGATTTTTACTGAGGATCCGGTTTGGGTCTGATCTTCTGTAAACATGGTGAAATAATGTAACCGGGAGAATAATCTGTTATTACTGTTGAAAAACAAAACAAAACAAAAACATATAGAACAAGATGAACAACCTAAAAAAATGTTTCAAATCTACAATCACTTACAGATTAATTTTCTCCAGTAATCAAACTATTTCGCTTGTTTTATTAAAATGTGTGTTTTCTTGTGTAGGTGAAAATAATAATAATAATAATAATAATAATAATAATAATAATAGAGAATTTTAATTTAAACATTTTATTAAAACTTCAAACTTTGCAGACAATCAGACGAAGTTACGATTAATTAGACGTTTAACAGAAACACCTCAGATTTACTGAGAAGCAAATATGACATGATATGAATGTAAAACATGAATGAGGAATAATCCAGCATTTAAATCAGACCTTGGTAACTTCTTCAGATCACCTACATTTAATTTTTTACTCTTGTTAACTGAAAATCAGAAAAACTTTCCGTCGTTCTCAGACTTCAGGTTTCCTGGTTTCTGTGTTTTTTCCAGGAAACCGGCGGCTGAACAGAAACCAGAAAACAATAAACTTGATCAAACTTTTGTCTTTTTAATCAGGTTTCTGTTGGTTTGGAAGGAGGATCAGATTTTGGATCTGCTGAATTTCTCCTCACTGCAGATTATAAAACATTTCTGTCAGACCTGAAAACATTCAGAGCTCAAAATGCAGGATTTCTGCATCTCAGATTAATATTAAACTGTTTTTCTTACCTGTGACATAAAGTTTGGTTCCAGTCCCAAAGACGAGGTACTTGGACTCACTGGATCCTCCTGATCCTCCCACAGCGAAACCCTCTGATACAAAAACCTCAGAGTCTGCAGCGCGAGGAAGAAGCCAGTTTCTTTAGGGGTTGCGTGTTTGGGGGCTGGGTGTGGCCAAAGGTGATTTCCTCCAAACTTCAACATCTCAGGTAAAAATGTTTTCTAGCAGAAGTGAAGCTTTTCCGTGAAGTGGAGCTGATAGAAACGTTTAGAGAACAAAGTTTAAAAGATACAATCAAAAGTCACTTTTGAACAAACTCCCATCATTTCTAGATTCTCTTACTTTCCACATGGTTGTGGTTTCTCTGGCCTCCTGACCCGTGGCATCTGGTTTTAGATCAAATGAATTTTATTGTTTTGCATCAACATTATTTTGGTTTTAACTTCTTACCAAGTAATGTTGCTCTAGTTTCTATCACAAATATCTTAAGACACTTTAACTGAGACAAAACTAACAAAGACGTTTATGGAGCTTTTCAGCAAGTTACAGGAACCTGTCTGAAGTAAATACTCCCTTAACATTTCTGAAAAAGTCCCGGCTCCACTGACAGATTATTTCACTTCATGTGAAAAAATGTTTTAAGTTATGAGACTGTTAGAAAAAGTTCTGTAAATATTTAACGTTTTGCTTCAGAAGGTGATTCACCAAAACCAACTTCAGAGGAAAAACATCACAAAGTTTTAGAAAAATGTCTCACTGGTCTCCACCAGGATCTTTAGAGGTCCAGGTGAGGGAGTGATTGATAAATGATCCAAGATATTGATTTGTCAAACTGCTTAGCATCTTAAAGTCAGCTCCATCAGACTAGCGGCAGCAGCAAGTAGCAAACACCTGCTGGAGCTGTGAGTCTGCAGAGCTCATCAAAGTACGATGTTCCTANTCAGGAGGAAACATGCCTGAGGCCAGACACAGCAGGAAGCCCTTCCTGTCCCGCTGGGCGCTGGATGCTGCTGGGTACACGCTCACCACGGGCTGCACTACCGGATCACCTGGAGGTCGGCAGCAGAAACCAGCAGACAGACACATTCAGCCAGTCAGCAGCAGCTGCAGCTCTGCACTGCATCCAGTCTGATCCTGGATCTGATCACTGAGCTGCTGACCAGCAGAACAAAGTTACTGCAGCCTCTAAAGCCTGAAGAACGCAGGTCATTTTATGTTGCTTAAAATATTTAGCTTGACAAATAAATTAGATTTATAAATGAATGAAAAACATTGAAAATGAATCTCTTCCCATTAAAGGCTAAATAACCCAAATTATTAATATTTTCTTACAGTGCATCTTTAGAAATGATTTCTATATTATTGATCCATGAACTCATTCAAAGTGTTTGTAACACAACTTCAGTTTCAAGTTGTTGTTTTTACCAATAAGCTTTGATCAGTCTGGATGTTCTGATAATCAGAATTGGTGGAGATCAATTAATTTTGGCACAAACTCGACTGTTAAGATGAATCAGTTTATGAAACATTGTGAAACTGAGACTTTAAAGCTTCCCATCATCTTCAGTACAGTCCGTACTTTCTGCTTTTCCTGACAGCAGAACCTGAAACACCTGATCCTGTCACTGCTGGGCTTCACATCTTTAATTGTGTTGATAAGTTTGAAACTGTGAATCCTCCAAACATTCATGATGTGGTTTTGCCAATAAGCTCCATGGTTTCCAGGTTTCTCTCCTTCAGGCTGTTCCTGCGTGTTTTAGTTGTCGTCTGACGGGTTGGTCACGTTCCAGAGACGACTCGTTTGGCCGTTGGATGTTATTCCTGCCAGGCGTGTATCAGGAGGTACGGCTCTGGAGGAATCTGATGCAGCTGATCCCTGATTAAACCCAGACTCTCTAATATGTGTTCAGACAGCAAATAAAAGGAAAAAACCTCCAGATGGTGAAAAGGAAGAGAAGTTTTTCCTCCCTACTGTCGCTCTGAGCATCCTCAGGATGCAGCAAGTCGATCCTCGATTCCATCTTTTCTTAGAAATGTTTTAAACTAATTGCAATAATTAGCTGAGCTTATTGTACTGCTTGATATTTAGGATCAGTAGAAACGTATGTGATTGAATTTAATTTTACTGGGTCATCAGACAGTTGAAGTTTAATATTCTGGCACTTCTTATTCGGCTCATTCGGGTATTTCAGCAAAACATTAATAATAAAAGCATAAAACTGGATTTGAATGGGTGAAGCATCAAAACATTTTAAAAATCCCTAATTTCTGAAAAGTCCTTAAACCCTGCAGACGAATGATGCTTGAAATCTCGGGGTGAACCAACAGAGAAACAGACGTTTCTGAGAGGAGCAGAGGCTGAATGTTGATCCAGGAGAATATCTGTTGATGGCTTGAACAATGATGTGGCTGAGGGACAAATCAGGAAGATATTCACCAAATGCTGCTGTGTGTATGAATACACACAAGGACAAAACTGCTGGTGGCTCTCAGGTATGGAGAGGAACTAACAATCCCTTGAACTTCACCAAAGTAACAGTAAATGAACATTTACTGAAAGATAATCAATTAAAATCAGACATTAAATTTGAATTGAGTTTCAACAGATTAAATAAAAAAATAAACTGGTATGTAGGGCTGTTGTAAATAAATTATTATTTATTTACAACAGCCCTATATATAATTATTCAATTATTAATCAAGTAATCAGATAAATAAAATAAAATAAAATAAAATAAAATAAAATTAAATTAAATTAAATTAAATTAAATATTGATAAATCTGCCGTAACAACAGTGTTACTATCGGATACCAATATCGGTCCAATTTTTCACATTTGAGCTTCCCTAACAGTTCCTTTTTAGTAGTTTTTATTAAATTACCGTGTAACAGTAGCAGCTCACTTTCTATGTTAACCTGAAGAAAAGTTATAGAAACATCGAAATTATATTCAATTTAATAATAAAGAGCCAAGATCAAAAATGCGCTTATAAAAAGTGTCTAAACTCCAGTTTTTAGTTTATGTTTTCATCTTCAGTGAGGATGAACTCTTTCACGTCACGATGCGCTTCGTTCAGACCGGGATGATGTAAATGTATCGTCGGTTCGTCCTAAAGCTGCTCTTCCACGGTCAGCATCAGCCGCCCGCCGTGTTCAGCCTCTACCTGTAGAAATCCTCCTCAGCTCTGAACCAGCAGCTCCGGAGCAGAAAGGCTGCCGGACTCCCGGATCGCTCCGGTCATTTTAAGGATGTTTGTTGGTTCCCAAAAACGATGAAAACCCAAAATTATCACCAATCAGTAAAATCCCCGCGGGCCGAACTTGAAGATTGGACATTATGACGCTAACACTTAGCTTTCCTGTTAGCGGCATAACGTCCAATTTATGCCGCTGACATAAATTGTCAACAACTCAGAAGGAAGTCAGAGCTCCGCTCAACCCGGCGCTCTAAATAATAAAAAATTAACGAAGCTTCAAACCAGGTAAATTTTCCCCGAGGAATTTTAATAATCGAGGGACTCGAATCATTCGAGGAATCGTTTCAGCCCTGCTGGTATGGTTTGTATGAGTTTGCTACCACTTGCATAAGATAAACTGAAATTAAATGTAAATTTTGTTTCAGACCTCAGCAGGTTCATAATTTAATTGCAATAATTTAATTTCATTTATAATCATGTAGTGATTGAGACCAGCGCCAGAATTTTCTGTTACTCCAGAGAAAACATGTTCATCTGATGGGATCAGGATTCTCTGTCCAACTTGTTGGATATTAACTAAACCAAATAAAAATTAAATGCAACTGAACAGCCTTTGTCAATATTACTTAAAAATTGATGGGCAAAAGTAGAATATGATGGAATTTTTTTAACACCATAAGTAAAAATGATGGACAATGAAAAAGATTAAAAAGTCTAGATAGATAGATAGATAGATAGATGGATAGATAGATTTGATATTTCTTTTGCATTTTTACATTTGTTCTTTATGTTTTATTATAAGTCAGTGAACATCGCCAGCAACATGTTCTATAAATCTATAAATGATGTTTTTAGATATTATTTATGTTTTTTCTGCAGAACTGTGCTGCTTTAAAATCCACAATAAAAGCACAAAATGTTCTTACCTGTTAGATAAAGTTTGGTTCCAGATCCAAAGACGGGATAGTAGTAGTAAGTGCCATCAGTCCTCTTCACAGTGAGACAGACTGATACAAAAACCAGTCTGCTGCTGAACGGGTCGGCTGAGGGGAACCGGTCCAGATGCTGAGGGGAACCGGTCCAGATGATGAGGGGAACCGGTCCAGATGATGCAGCAGGACCAGGTTTCAGCTCCATGATGAGTTTCTCTGATGTTCACATCAACATGATTCTTTCTTCTTTTTTCTTTTAGCTGTGTTAGCATCTGGTTCTGATGTGAAAGGCTCAGTTCTCTCCTTTAGTCCACATGAACCGGATCAGGACTAAAGGATAGATTCATAAATTAATGTGAAACATTCTACAGATATTTATTTTCCCAGATGATTAACTGCCGTTGTTTAGCAGCACTCTGTACTCCTCTTAATTTTGCTCATATTTGCTACAAAGCAGTTTTATTGTGGCGGTTTCAGTTTCAGTGAGGTTAACCGCTATGCCACACAAACTGCTGATGCTCCTTCCCTGGGTAACGAAGGATTATTTACAGCTGCGAGCATAGAATGTGTTCAGACACAAGCAACGCTGGAGGCATGAGAAGATTCTTAAAAAAATTATTAGCATAATTACAAAATGACAGTGAGATTCATAGAGTAGATGAAGGGTGCAGCAGTAACGATGCTCTGTCGGTCAGACCTGGGTCAAGATGTGCCACCCGGCTGAAATTCAAACCTGCAATTCTCCGTTTCACTGCAGTACAAATTAATTCAGACAATGTTAATTAGTTGACCCCTCATGTTCATGTTCAAGTTTATTTGGAGCCCATTTTAGCAACAAAGCATTTGAAAGTGATTTACATTTAAAAAAGTAAGTCCTAGAAACACGCAGTGAATGACTGAAACATTGGATTTAGGTTTCTGTTTGTTTTCTAGTCTTTTCAGTTCCTGTGTCGTCTTCTCCACCCCTTGATTGATCCCAGCTGTGTCCTGTTCCCTCGTTGGGTCAAACTGTCATTGTCTTCATTGCCAGTCCTTCCTGTGTCGAGGTCCCTGCCTCTTAGTTCACCTGCGCTGCCTGAATTTTCTGTTAATCTCTGAGAGCCTTGATTAAATCATCCTTTTTCACACCACAACCCGGGTCTGCCACATCCAGCCTCACCACCAACTACTGCAGCATTACTGCAGCATCATTACACATCACAATGTTGTTATATTTCAAAGCAACTCTAATCAGGTGTGTTTTAAGTCAGAACGCCTGGAGGAGTTTCTCTTTAGTCCTCTGGTCCTGAAATGTTCTGCAGCTGCTAGAAGGCCCACTTTGGAACCAGCTTTATGTGGCTCTGAAGGTTCAGGTCAGAGGTCAGCCTGATCTCTAGATCCCAGCTGGAATAACTGAAGCTGTAATATAAACTGAAGTTCCTATCTTTGCTCTAGATCTATAGCTCTGGTTCGCTCCTCTTTAGGTCCAAATTTATTAACTTCAGTTTTGTTTCTGTTCAGCTGGAGAAAGTTTTGGCACATCCACACATTTATCTCAGTTGTCCAATGAATACGTAACCAACAAAACAAACCAGTTTCTTCAAACAAGCTTGAGGACAAAACGGGGGTCGATGGTTAAGCCACTTCCTGGACCACAGACTACCTGGTGAGGTAGCCACAGTTCATCAGGTGGGAGAAATTAGTTTCTGAGACAACAGAGAGCAACACTCTGAGGTTCAGGTTCCCTTCCTGTTCACACTGTACACAGCTGACTTTAAGTACAGGTCCATCAGGAAAGGGCAGGAAGAGGAATACAGGTAGGACCTTCATACTGCAGCACCAAAGCCTCTTCCTGCTCAGGACCTCCAAAACATAGGAGATGATTGAAGTTTGGAGGCCAAAGCCGTCGCTCCAGCTGGTCACCAATGGAAAAGTGATTGAAGTCACCAAGCTGGGCTGGACTGCAAACAGAGATGCTGTGTATCAGAAAGCCAGCTCTGCTGTCTCAGGAGGCTGAGCTGTTTTTATGAATGCTACGTATGTTTGATCAGCCAGGCTGCCTGTGTCCCATTTTACAGTGGATGGAGGTTTGGGGGGGCAATGAACCCCAACCCAGGTTCTGAGCTGTAGTGGAAAATGTTGCAGAACCGGCTGTGCAAACTCAGCTGAGCTTGAACTCCCAGTGGAAAACTTTGTCTTCAAAACAGAAAGTTGTAGGTTTGGCTCTGGCTTCCTTCCCTGCTGAATGTCAATGAGCCCTTGGACAAGGCGCAGCCTCAAGTCGGCTTTCTGATCTGTGTATCAGTGACTGAATGTGCAGCACTCAGTGACTGTGACTCTGAAATGATTAAAATACACATAACACAACTTAAACACCTCAGGAAAAATAACAGCTTTTTAATTTGATCACCGTTTATTGCTATTAAATCTTTTATTTACATTTTATTTAAATCAAACCTGTTAACTGAAATAAAACCTCAGTCAGTGGTTTACTGCTGTCACAAGCTCCGTTTGACATCTGGAGGTTTTTGTTCAGGCTGAAGGAATCATTTCTGACTGTGGGAACCAACTTTCAAACAGCTGCAGTAGTAGGAGGCTGAATGATTGAGTTGAACTTTTTCAATCTCCAAATCGCAGCCGTTAGGAAATATCTTTACTGAAAAATCCTCTTTCTGAGTGTGATTGTAGCTGAGATTTATGTCACCATATAACTTGTTAATACTTAGAATAATTCTGAGTTTGTCTGATTGTTTCTTTTGATACCAAAATATAAAATCCGACTCAAAGTAATCAGTTCCTCTACAGCTGATGGAGACGTTCTGACCGGATCTCCTGGTCAGAGTAGAAATTTGAATTGGCCTTGTTGCCATGGCAGCCAGCGCTGTAGAGACACAGACAGACAGGTGAAGGTTAGTGTGACAGTGTTTGTTCCAGGTGGGCTTTGTTGGCTCCTGATTGGTGGAAACACTCACCTGAACCCAGCCAGCACAGAGCAGCAGCTGGGAGGAAAAGCATTGTGTGCAGTGGAGTTTCCTCTGGTGAACCTGGGGAGAAGTGGAGCTCTGATGCAGCTGAGGCCAAACAAGGACGAGCTGAGAGATCAGACCAGGGCCACGTGGTTTCTAGCAGAGGAACCAGAGCTCCCATCAGCCCCTGCAGCCACAGAGAAGAGGAGGCTGCTGATTGGACGATCAGAGGAAGCTGCTGATTGGACGATCAGAGGAAGCTGCTGATTGGACGATCAGAGGAAGATGCTGATTGGACGATCAGAGGAAGCTGCTGATTGGACGATCAGAGGAAGCTGCTGATTGGACGATCAGAGGAAGCTGCTGCTGCTGAGCTTCCAATTAGTAACAAGTATTAATTTAAAGATGAAAATCAAGTTACTGGCGCTTTTCATTTGAAATTAAAACAATATGCATACATATTAAAATAGGAAAAATAAAAAGGATTTTATGCGTTTTGTAAATCAAACATTGTCCTTCAGTTCTTCTCTCTTGACATCTGCAGCTCTTCCTGCTGTTTGTCTTCTGTATTGTAACTTATAGTCTCTGTGTTTAAAGTAGGACTGTAATTCATTTAGTGTTTTATGAAGCAACAAAATGCCACAAGTGTGGGAACCGAGGAGTACTTTATATTTAAATCAACAACAAAAAAAACAACATTTTGAATAGGAAATGTAACAATAAACTACAATGAACCTCCTAGAGCTCATAGTTTTCATTGCTGCCTAATAAAATTACTCTTTACATAATTTTATATTTTATCCAGCATAAGTGAAAATAAATACTTTCCTAATTCAATGAACTCCAGGTCACAGATCCCTTTAACCTTCTGTTTACTCACCTTGTCCTATGGGTCAAAAATGACCCGCCCTAACAAAAGCCCCAAAATAAAGCAGATTAATTGAATTTTAAGTCCAAAATCTATTTTGTATGATGAAAAAATTTGATATTTATCATTTCAACTCAATTTAATACATTTTTTATCATGTATATTTGTTACACAATACAAAAAGATGATCAACAGTATTACACACTTTTTTCTTTTTACCACAAACTAAGTGTTGTAACGGTTTTCCTTTACACAGTAAAGGTTTATTATATAATTATATAAATGAACATCACATGTTCAACATCAGGTGTTGAACATCAGATGAAGAACATCCACACTGAACAGAAAATGTTCAAGAAAATCTTTATAACATGAAGATGTTCTTCACCATATGAAGACGCTACATTGAATTTGTTCAACATAAAATGTTCAACTTCTTATGCTGAAGATCTCATGTAGGTCAGAATGTGGAGACATACAACATCTGTTAGTGAAACATCTATTCATGGCTTCAACTACTGGTTCTCAGATTCATAAACCTTCATATCGTTTTTATCATGTCAGATTATTTTCTGTTGTGTTTGGGAGTTTGTGTGATGTGGGAGGTTGGCTGCAGATTGAGAGTCAAAGGCAAGTTTAATTCATACGTCAATCCAGTTTCTTTGATGTGTGTGTGTGTGTGTGTGTGTGTGTGTGTGTGTAGTCTGAACTCTTTTTCTGGTGTTTAAATGCTTTTATAATTCACGGGTCCAAAATGACCCATAAGATAATCCTGGTACCCTCGTGGTGATCAGCCCACATGGAAATATAAACTAAAACAAAGCATCACTTCTTCTAATGTCAGGTTAATTTAAGAAAAGTCATAAAACTTCAAGTCGGCAAAAGGTCGTTTAGGGCAGGGTGGGCAGCTCCAGGCCTGGAGGGCCGGGCTCCTGCAACCTATATGTGTCTCTACTTCAACACACCTGGATCAAGTAATCGTTAGCAGGACTCTGGAGAACCTGATGCACTGAGGAGGAGATCCAGCTGTTTGATCGAAGTGTGTTGGACCAGGGAGACGTCCAGAGTCCAGGACACCGGCCCTCCAGGACCAGGACTGCCCATCCCTGGTTTAGGGTATTTTTTCTACAGCTAAACATGGTAATGGGTCACTTTTGACCCAAAGACAGCAGAAGGGTTAAACCCAACAAACTGAAAATACAACAGACTACAACTGAAAGACGTTTGAAATGACTTCAGTAAAGTTGATTCCTTTGTTCAGCAGATGCAGAAACATTGGGAAGAACTTGTCTGCTGGTCCACATTTTCAGCCATTTGTATGTTCAAATTAAATATTTATTATCCATACTGCATTTTAAAAATGTTATTCAAAAAAGTTTAAAAACAAAACTTTTTATTGGAGATTTGTTTCTACAAACAAATTCAGTGGGAATAAAATGAAAATCACTTATTAATCTCAGACAATAATCATATTGTTACACCTCCCTGTTTAGGTGAAAATATTAACACCATGTTGCCATGGTAACAAGACCAAGAACTGAGCCCTGAGGAACTCCCCTAAACATGAGAGCAACTTAGAACTAAAGCTGTCAGGATGATCCAGGCTGATGGAAACCAGTGGAGAGCTGGTCCTCAAAGACCAAACCAGTTTGAAGTGAACTAAATCAAAGTTCAGCTCTGACTGCGACGTCCCGACTCTGCTTGACATTCAGCCGTCATCCACTGAATGACGAGACGGAGTCTGAACCAACATGGACGCCTTGAATCTGATGGAGCTGATTGCTGAGCTGTGAGTTCAGCTCTGAGCTGTTTCTCTCTCAGATGAAGAACACAGGTGCTTCCTGAACCATTGTTTCAGTCGATGCTTGTAACTGTCATTGTGTTATTAAAGTGAGAAGCCACAGCTAACGGTGTGGAGGCTGCAGAGCACAAACCCACACAGCTGCAGGAAAGGAAGTCTGATTGGCTGCCAGCAGTTTGGTGGCTTCTAATAACCACTGAGAACAGATTCAGATCTGCTCTCTGACCACAATCGGCTTTATTTACAGCCAAGGCCTCATATGTCTTAATACATAAGGTTTATGATTTACATGTTTTATTAAAACTGAGCTGTATGCTGACATGCAGAATAATTAGATTCCAGTTTAAAGTTAAAAAACAACCATTGCAACATTTACTGCTGAATTAAGTTGACGCATCACAAACCTTTGCTGTAAATACTGAGAACCTGAAGATGTTTCTGTTTTTACCGTTTCCTCCCAGTGGAGACAAAAATAATTCAGCAGAAATGATGTCACTTTGTGAACAGTGGGATGAATATTAACAATGAAGCAAATTAATAAATCAGTGTTACAGTAACACTGAGCCAAATGTTGCCCTTTGTTAAACACAGATTAGCTTAACCTTGTGTCTGTGTTCAGACGTCTGATCTGCAAACAAACTGAACCCAGATCAGATTCATAGATACTCGTTTAGTGTCTTCTCATCTCTTCTGCATTAAATACTGAAAACTCTCTTTAAAATTTGAAACCAGTAAATATTTTGTTTCTCCATACATCATCTTTGTTGCAAGCAGGTTAGTTTTAGTGACTCAGGCGCCCAAAGATGTTTTTAATGTAGCTTAGGCCAAAGAAACCTATTAAAACCTTTAATTTTCTAGAACCATGTAAGTCCAAGTCCGCACCATCTTTTAATTGTTTCTTTATGCTTGATATTTATTAGTGAGGGTCAGTACAGCTTAATCTAGTCACAGAAATAATCAAGTAAGAAAAGTCAATCATTTTAATCTAACCTGCATGATTAATTTTAGAAGTAACTTCATGTCTTGTTGCTGCTAAACTAAAGTCTCCAGCCTGGTTGTCATGGTTACCTCGGGTTATTCTGACAGCCTCTGTGTCGCCGTCCATCACAATTAGAAACGATCCTATTTTAGCCAGTCAGTCTTGAAGGATGACAGGAAACTGAACAAGCACAACATCCATAATTTACCGTCTGTTGGAAACACTGACCCCATCAATGCCCTGTGTGGGTTCTCCTGAGAACACTTCAATTTGAACCATGTATAAAACCTTTCCCACATGTTTCACAAGCAAAAGGCCTTTCACTTGAATTCATTTTGTTGTAAAGAGAGAAATCTTCTCCATATGTTTGAAAAGGCCTCAATACAAGAGAAAGATTTCCTACACAAGTCACAAGAAAAAGGCCTTTCACCTGTATGAATCTTCTTGTGAGCTTTTAAATTACTAATTTGAGAGAAACTTTTCCCACGTATTTCCCAACAGAAAGGTCTCTCTCCAGTGTGGGTTCTGTAATGCTGTTTCAAGTTAAACTTCTTCTTGAAGGATTTCCCACAAATACCACACTTATCAGAAGACATGTTGCTTGTGTCAGTGTAGCACCGAGTCTGTGACCCGGTGGAGCTTCTTCCTCCCTGATCGTTGCTCTCAACTACAGGAGAAACATGAAAAGAAAGCTGCTCAGGTCTTGGCTCTCCTTCACAGCCAACAGGAGAATCTGCTTCCTCCATTACTCCCTCCATCAGTGGTTCTGCTTCCTCTTTAATCCATGTAGTTTCTGGATCCTCCTGTCCTTCAATCAGTGGTTTTCTTGGGTCCTCTTTCTCTTTAATCCACTCAGATTCTTTAAACGGTGAAGGTTTAGGTTCTGCTTCTTCCACTTTCATCCAATCAGTTTCTGATTCCTCCCATTCTTCAATCGGTGGAGGTTCTGATTTTTTCTGTGGCCTTTTGTCCCATGAAGACTCTGCGTTCTCGTTTCCTTCCACCAGGGTGCGTTCAGGTGGCCGTGGAGGATCCGGTTCCATTTGATCCTCTCCAGTCCATTGAGGTTCTGCTTCCTCCTCCTCGTGGCTGGACCGCCTCCCCTGGTTACAGAGAAGCTGGATGGAAGAAGTTTCCTGCTCAGTGAAGACATTTAGCTTTTGAAGGTCTGAGGGAACAAAGGAAGAGATCATTGATATAAATTAATTGATGACCGTCTTCTTTAAAGGCAGCAAAATTATTATAAAAAAATGGGCTGATGTCACATCACCCAAATAAAGACCCATGTCTCCCTCTTTAGTTCAGTATTCAGAAAACCATTTGGTTCTAACAGAACATTTTAGATGAGTTTCTACTTCAGCTTATTTTGCTAAAATATTCATAGTTTGTTTTGAAGTTTGGTAGTTTATCCAGTATTTCCTTTTTAAAATATTGTCCAGCCCCATAGAAAAAGCAACAGCTGTTTCTCCTCATGTTACTTTGTTTCCGTTCCCTTTAAAGTATCAGGAGTCAACAGGACAAAAAGGTTCAGGAACCAGAGCAGTTAGCAGAAATCATCTTATGTTGAGTGAAGGAACTGCTTCTTTGTAAAACCTCAGATCCAAAGTACATTTCAGTCTAACCATCTACAAACAGAGGCTGTGTTCCAGTTACCAGTCAACAGTCACTGCTGCTGAGAGAAAATACACAACAAACTTCATGAGCCAAGTGGATGTTAGTTAATCAGCATCTTACTGCTAACCTTGTTTTAGAGTCAACAGAGAAGGAAGATAGAAATAGATGAAAGTAATTTAGTCCAGATCACCCACTGATTTACAAACTAAATGTGAAAGAGGAAAAAGAAACTGATGGAGATTAAATTATATGACCGAGATAAGATCAACAGCTACATGGATTGACAGTGAAAAAAACTCATATTTCTGTCATTTGGAGAAAAGTAGAGAAATGTAATTACAAGTCTACTAATAAAGAAATATCTAAAAACTATGAAAGACTTTTTTGCTTAATTGGACCTTCAGAATATTCCACTAAGGATGTCAATGATTTCTTAGACGAGACCTGCAGCCGTATCCCAACATTCACAAGGTTCTAAAGAAAAACGTCACTTCCGTTAATTGTTCATCAATAAATACGACCAGTCAGCTTTAGATTAACTCCTTAATCAATACCCTGCATCTCGAATCAAAATTTCATCTTCCCGTCTATCCTGGGATTTATACTAGAATGTTCTTTATTACTTTTAGATTGTTTCATTTTCATACACACAGACATGTAAATTCAGAGGCACTAAACCTAAATGGTTCAGTTTTATTTATTTATTGTTTATTGTTAAGTCATTAATATTTTTAGTCAGGCGACTGAAATGATCTCCATCTGGTTTTCAGAGACTCAGACATCTGTTGTCATGTAGCATCAGAGCAGCAGCTAAAACAGTTCAGCTGCAGCAGCTTCTCTGTCTGCATGTAACACATCTTCATCCAGACCTACCAGAACTTTGTCTCCGCAGCTCCGAACCGATTCTGTTGAGTTTTATCTCTGGTTTCCAGTTGATCCCCATCATCCTGCGCTGAGCATCGAGCTCCTCCTCGTAGCAAATGATGGTTTTTTCAACCTCTGAGAAGATTTCTGCAGCAGCAGCAGTTAGTCGCTCTCTGATAAAATCTCTGAGATGCTGAACTGAAGACATGGTTACTGAAATATTAGCTGAGAAACGATAAAACAACCGTATTCTGGATGATTCCACAGAACCTCATGCTAAATCCTTCAGTTTTCCTTTTGCTGAGGATCTCCACAAATCAGCTGATTGGTCAATTTGCGCCCCCTGCTGGGCTGGAGCGGAACAGCATAACGTTACCTGAAACATACATTAACTTTTCCAATCTTTAAATTTTTTGTGCACCAAATAATTACTTGTATGGTTTTTGTGGACAAAAACACAACAAAAAAAAAAACACACACAGAATATGGTTTACAAGCGGTAGCCGTATTTTGTGAAACCCTTAGGAAATATTTCAGTTCTTCAGTGAATATAATATAAATATACTAAAGGCTTATAAACCCCAAACATGAAGTTCCAGTTCAGTCCAGCAGGGGGCGGAAATGGTCCAATAAACTGTTTTCTCTCAGTGTGACCCCAGCGGAAGTAAAACAAAAGGCTCCAGCATCAGGTTCTGTGGAATCATCCAGAATACGGTTGTTTTATCGTTTCTCAGCTAATATTTCAGTAACCATGTCTTCAGTTCAGCATCTGAGAGAGTTTATCAGAGAGAGACTAACTGCTGCTGCTGCAGAAATCTTCTCAGAGGTTGAAAAAACCATCATTTGCTACGAGGAGGAGCTCGATGCTCAGCGCAGGATGATGGGGATCAACTGGAAACCAGAGATAAAACTCAACAGAATCGGTTCGGAGCTGCGGAGACAAAGTTCTGGTAGGTCTGGATGAAGGTGCTGATGTGGAAACAGAAAGATGGAGAATGAAGAGACGGAGGTAAAAGAGAAGAAGATTAATGATGTAATTCAAAGAGTTGGAGAAAGAGGAAAGAAATTATAGCGATGTAAAGAGTTTAGATTATGTCTGGTGCCGGATCAGCAAAGACAACACATCCAGTATTTGTTGGCTTATTTTATTGTGAACTGAAACAATATTCTTACTTCTGTGTGTTAATAAAACAGACAGTGTTCTTTAATGGGTGACAGTGGCTGGAGGTCAGAGTTCATCCTGTGGTTTGCTGGTTTAGACCTGAACTCCACTGCCGTCTGCACTAGACACGTTTATCATTAAGTAACAGTGATGTTAATGTTTTATCACCTAGTGCTCTGGAGATATCAGTGACCTAAAATATTGCATTTCATTTAAACACTTTCTTGCTAGAGCTCCAAATCTATTGGGCTGAAAACTGTTGGTCACTTATTGACCTGATAGATGAGACAGTCATCAATCGATCAATCAATATTAATGATCTCTTCCTTTGTCTCACAGACCTCCAGAATCCACATGTGTCGGTTAAAGAGGAAGCTGCTACCGTCCAACAGGCCTGTGGCCAGGAGAGGAGGTCCAGTCATGATGAGGACGAAGCCGAATGTCAGTGGACTGAAGAGGAACGGGTGGAACCAGAACCTCCACTGACTGAAGAACATTGGGAACCAGGATCTCTATGGATTAAAGAGGAAGAGGAGGAGGCACAGTCTCCGGTGTTTAATTTTGAAGAGCAGGAACCAGAACCTTTACCGACCAGGCAGAACCAGAAGCAGTTTGCTGCTTTGATGGAGACTTTCACACTTCAGAGACGGGATCTGAGTGAAGGACCAAGAACTGAGCATCCTTCCTTTCACATCTCTGCTGAAGCCGAGAGCAAAGATCAGGAAGGAAGCAGCTCCACCGTGTCAGAGGGTCAGTCCCACACCGACTCCAGGAAAGGGCCTGTCAGCTGTGGGGTGTGTGGGAGATTACTGAAGAATAAATATGACTTAAAACAGCATTACATGACCCACACTGGAGAAAAGCCTTTTACTTGTGAAACTTGCAGTAAAAGTTTTGCTAGACGTTCTCAATTAAATGTTCACTATAGAACCCACACCGGTGAAAGGCCTTTTACTTGTCCAATATGCAAGAAAAGTTTCTTTCAAATTGGTCATTTAAATGCCCACAAGAACATTCATACAGGTGTGAGGCCCTTTTCCTGTGAAACATGTGGGAAGAGTTTTACTAGACGTTATCTATTAAACATGCACCGGAGAAGCCACACAGGTGAGAGGCCTTTCTCCTGGGAGAGCTTTGTGAAAAGCTTCTAGAATAAAACATGTTTAGATCGGCATGGGAAAGTCACACAGCTTTTCCTGTATAAGTTTGGAGTAAACATGTTTTCACTCAATCCAAACATCTCTCTAAATGAAATGTGCACCAGAAAACCCACAGAGGTGGAAGAAGCTTATTTGATGATTGTAGAAACAAAAACACAAACATGAGAAGTCGCATCAGACTGACTCACTGTGAGAAATATTTAAACTTTTCTTGGTAGTTTTTAAAGTGTATTAGAAAATAAAGTTACTGATTGTGTTGAAACTAGAAATGAAGGTGAGACGTTCTTTAGACACGATGTGAACCTCTGGACACCAGCAGCTCTGACCTGATGGACAAACACATTTTCATGCCATCAGATGGGATCAAAACTCTTGGCACATGCTTCATAGATGCAGCCCAGCATGGTGGTGGAGGGCTGGTGATGTGGGCTCGTCTTACTCTTCAGAGTATCAAAGTCTTTGAGACCAAATGTGGGTCCATCTGTCCAGCAGCTGAAGTTTAGTCCAGATCTACAACAGGAAGAACCAAACTAATGACTTGTAGAGTTGGAGTGGCCTAATCAAAGGCTGGACTTCAACCTTATTATATCCTGATGTGCAGAGAGCTGTGCAGAAATGGATGTTTGTAAACTTAAATTATCTACATTGTGGTTGTTGAGAAGACTGAGGAGAAATTTCTCCACACCAACATCTTAAATTTACTTTTTGTTGAAATCCTCAAACTGAAGTTTAAATTCATAACTTTAAAACTTCCAGTTTTAAAGTTCATAAACTACTGATGGTTGTTGTTGACAACGTTTTTCATTCGATTTTTCAATGTTTTTCTTAAGAACTTTTCAGTTTGATAAATATATTTTATACTTTTACTGTGAAAACCAAAATGTCTGAATATTTTAGCAGTTTTTCACTTTGTTTTGAATAAGAAACACATTTGGTTTAATAATGTTGAACTTAAACACAGGAATTAAATTTGCTTTGTAATTGTTGCTGCTGTGGTTTTTACAGGACGGTAGACTGAAGGATGTTTGTAGTTTAACAGCTGAACAGTCGGAGCTGCAGCCTGAAACATGTTCATGTAGAAAACCGTTTAAACTTACAGCTATAAGATGAAGTTAAAGTATATGTGCTGATTCACACATCGAGTTGAAATAGTTCTACGGTTTGGATTTCTTCTAGTTTGTGCTGCGATATGATGTTGGTTTTAAATAAAGCCTCTGCTGTTCACCTGAAGCCGTCTTCAGATCAGTCTCCATATTATCAGGTTGAAACCAACCAACTCCATCATACATAATATTGGCATCAAAATTTAAATTCAACAGCCATAGAAAAAACCCTCCTGAGCTCCTGGTTTTATGAACCTACTGAGGTTTATAAAACATTCAAATATAAATGGATATTATTAGAAATTTTTAAGTAAGATTTTTATAGTGAAATTCTTCCAGCAACTTTGTGACTTCTGAATATTAAACCCGTTACGGTCACTGAACGCTGAAAAAGCGTTTGACAGCATTGAATGGTTATATTTATTTGACATTCCTAAAGTGTAACTGATCATCAAACCAACTTTTTTATGTTTCTATGTTTCAGTGTGAAAATAAACAAGTGAGCAGCTTTTTTCACTGCATTGGCTTTCAGAACAAAGACGAAAGTTTCTAACATTAAATGACAGAAGCAGATGATCTAATAATTTCATGCATTCTGTCCAGTCAGCAGTCTGTGAATCCAACTGATTCCAATAATCACATTATTCACTGTATTCTGGTTTTATGAGACACTGAATTTTGAATTTTCATTATCTGCAAGTCATAATCACCAAAATTACAGGAAACAAAGGTTTGGAATGCATCACTGAATGGAGGATGACTTCATGCAATGTTTCCCTTTCTGAGATGACTGGCAAGAAATGTTGCATTTTCACTTACTATTAAATTTTTTAATATGTACTATTGGTATATCTTGCCTTCCCGATTCATCATCCATATGCGACGTTACTGACAGCATGGTCGTTATTATGGAAAAGTTGCTCAGTTTTGCTTTTAGCTGCAAATGTTTCCAGTTTCCTCTTTAATTCCAGCCTCCTCTGCTCCATCCTTGCTGTTTCTACTTCCCATCTTTAAACACCAGTGTCTGAGACGGTTGAATGTCAGGATACGTCTCTGAAAAACAAAACTACAAAAGCTGTTAGTCCAATAGAGACGGTTGCAGCCCAGGGCAGCAGCAGTGGCGCACGAGATCAACCCAGTGCCTGAACACCAACTCAGTTCAAAAATAATAGAGAGAGAAAACCAGAGCTTAAGGCCCAAATGTCCTCAGTTCTCCCAATTTGCCAATCCAGGCCTGCTTGTAACCGTCATTGTGTTATTAGAGTGAAATGTTGGCATTTATTAAACATAAATTAGCTTAAACCTGTATTTACAGAGACACTGCTGACTGTGTTCAGACCTCTGATCTGTAAACTATCTGAAAAAAAAGACCCCAAACTTTCCATCAATCTGGAGAATCTAGTCTGTCAGTGCAGTTTATCATTTTAAACTCCAAAGACCTCAAACAGCTTTTCCTAACAAACACACAGGAAAATTACATTTTTCTCATCTCTATTGCATTAAAACTAAAAAAGTACTTTCAAATTTGATGCCAACAAAAATTTTCAATAAAAACAATTTGTCTTAAAGTGTTTAAATTCAACATTTATTATAAAATTACAACTTGAAACTTTAAAAACCAAAAACCTTCCAATTGCAAAAATACCCAATGAGCCAGAGTCACCCCACAAAACAACCCAACACATCAACTTCACTCCTACTCAGGTTTAAGCTTCATTAGTATTTTTTCCTTTGCTAATATATTACTAAAAAACAAACTAATAAGAAAATTCTAAATATTTACTGTTAACCAGTGAGAGTCAAATGACTATTTCTTACTTCTGTGCTTTCTTTTCATGTGATAATTCAGTTTCCTATTTTCAATGAAACCTTTGCCACATATTTGACATGAGAAAGGCCTCTCACCTGTGTGGGTTCGCTGATGTACATTTAAGTGATTGCGGATAAAATAAGCTTTCCCACATACTTCACATGAATAAGGTCTTTCACCCGTGTGAGTTCTCCTGTGAACATTCAAGTTCGAACTATTTATAAAGCCTTTCCCACACATTTCACAAGAAAAAGGTCTCTCACCTGTATGAACTTTCTTATGAATACTTAAATTGCCAATATGAGAAAAAGCTTTTCCACAAGCGTCACAACAAAAAGGTCTCTCACCTGTGTGAATGTTCTTGTGAGCTTTTAAATGATCAATTCGAGAGAAACTTTTGTCACATGTTTCACAAGAGAAAGGCCTCTCACTTGCCTGATTTTTTAAAGGCCTCTCATCTGCATGCCTTTTCTTATGTAGATTTAAATTATCAATACGAGAGAAAGATTTTCCACACGTGTCACAGGAAAAAGGCCTCTCACCACTATGAACTTTCTGATGAAGATTTAAATTATAAATTCGCAAGAATGTTTTCCCACATGTTTCACAAGAAAAAGGTCTCTCACCTGTATGAGTTTGCTTGTGAACTTTTAAAATACTGAATCGAGAAAAACGTCTCCCACATGTTTCACAACAAAAAGGTCTCTCCCCAGTGTGGGTTTTGTAATGCTCTTTCAAGTTAAACCTCTTCTTAAATACTCGTTCACAAATTTCACATTTTAAAGACATATTCTTTGTGTCAGCATGAGACTGACTCTCTAACACTGTGGAGCTGCTTCCTTCCTGATGTGTGCTGTCTGTAGAAGACGGATGAAATGAACACTGCTCGGTTCTTGGTTCTCCAGCTCTTTTCCTGGAGACTTCCTGAAGAGGAGTCTCCATCAAAGCAACGGACTGTTCCTGCTCTCCCTCCTCACTGCTGCAGCCGTCCTTCTGGTCCTGCCCAGTTGGAAAATGTTCCAGTTTCTGCTGTTCATGTTTAATCCATGAAGAATCTGTTTCTTCCTTTACTTCAACTATCAGTATTGAATATGGCTCTTCTTTTTCTTTAATCCATTTAGATTCTACATCCTCCTGATCTTTAATAAGTGGGGTTTCTGGTTTCTTCTGTTCCTCTTCAACCCATAAAGATGTTGGTTCTTCATTTTCCTCCTCCAAACTTGAGTGTTTTGTGTCCTGGTCTTCCTCTTTAATCCTCTGTAGTTCTTGTTTCTCCTGTTCTTCTGTCAGTGGAAATTCTGGCTCCTCCTCTTCTTCTTTAATCCTATGAGTGTCTGGGTTCTCCTGTTTTTCTATCAGTGAAGGTTCTGTTTTTTTCTGTTTTTCTTTAGCCGATGAAAACTTTATTTCCTCCTTTTCTTCTTCCATCAGTGCTGTGTCCTCCTCTTCCTCTTTAATCCACTGTATTGGATCTGGTTCCATCTGATTCTCTTCAGTCCATTGAGGTTCTTCTTCCTCTGGTTATGGTGAGGCCTCCTGCCCAGGCTACAGAGATGTTGGATGGAAGAAGCTTCTGTCTCAATGGAGACATGTGACTTTTGAAGGTCTGTAGGGAAAAAGGAGGACATCATTAATATAATTAAATTGATGACCATCTCATTCTTCAGCCCAAGATCTCATTGGAACCATCTGACTCCACCTTCATTAAAACTGGATATTTGGGAGGAATCCCATCAGGAAACTTTGTGCATCCTCCCTGTTAAGAGACTACAGATGTGTACTCTGACTAACACAGGAAAGCACTCGGCAGGAAACGGCATTCACATCAAACTCCTTTGGATGTGACAGCAAGTTGATAATGCTGAGTCAGTGCAAACAATCGCACAGACAAGTAATGTGACAGCCGCTCTCTATGCAGCACTGACAGTTTGGCTGTCCTGGTGGAGAAGAAACTAAATAAAATACAGTTATTTATTTGATATAAGATGTTGTATTCCAAGTTAACACTAATATAACAATATAAAAAGTCAAATAAAAACAGAATGCATAAAAAGAAAAGGGTTTGAAACTGCACTGTCCTCGGAATAAAGAAACACTATAATCTGAATAATACTAAGTGTAATAATGCAGTCATAGATGAAAACATAAGAAAGCTCAAAACTGAGGACGTCAGGACAATCCAGAAAATAAAATGTATTTTTTATAGTGTCTATCTTCTAACAATAGTAACAAGTTAATTTAGTGTTTAAGTTCAAACCTGAACAAGTTGACAGGATGCAGAATCAGTTTTACAAGTGAAGTGGGAACGCACCGTTTGTCTGAAGGTTTAGTCAAAGCTGCAGCATTTCTTTTTTCCAATTGTTGCATCTTCTTTTGGTTTCGTGTCTTCTGTTTTTATCTGGGGTTTATATCCCTTTTAATATTCATGTTAACTGAGAATACATAAACAGAAAAATTATCAAGTATTTAAAGCAGCGCCTGATGTTTAAAAAACGAACATAACTAGTTAAATCCTGGAAGAAACGTTTTTAGCACACAAAAAGACTGTCAGAGCTCCAGCCTGCTAATTCTTTATTAGAACGGCTTTGACGAGGGCAGCTAAGCGGGGTCCTTCGGCTCTGTGGCAACAACGCGACCGGAAGTTAGTCACCAGTTAACATGAAAACCTATTAAACCGTAACACTGGTCTGAACGGACCTTAAAACACTGAAGTCTGTTAGTAATGCTGAAAGCTTAAACAATAAACCGATCAAACTGATTCATACCGATTCTGGTGAGGCTGTAGTTTCCATCAGATTATGTTTTCCTCGTAGTGAACGACGTTTTGTTTTTCAGCATCAGAAGCAGTTGGCCGCTATCTGAAGCTGAACTGAAGACATAGTTACTGAAATATTCAGCTGATTCACAACAACACAACCGTCTTCCAGCTGCGTCAACACAAGCTGCTCCTGACGTCTTTTTGTTTTCCTTCGGCTGGGTGTCACATTGAGACAAAGCAGCTGGTTGGTCCATTTCCGCCCCCTGCTGGACTGGACTGGAACTACATAACAACAGCCTTCCATGTGATCAATCAATGATTTTTATCATTTTTAATTGATGATTATGTCCAAACCCCAAATAACTGTTTAAATTCAAGCAGAAATATAAATTAAATTAATTCGGAAGCGGCTCCAGAGCCGCGAACATTATGATCATCCTGGAACAGCTGAACTTAACTTCTGGTTAATGTGATAAAGACAGTAAAGTTAAAGATGTGAATTCAAGAAGACCAAAAGAATATTGAATTAAAGCTGCTTTAAGTGGAGTATTGGTATTGATGCAGCATAGTATTAGGGTGCTCTTCCTTATGAGATCATCAACAAATCAACAGCAGAGGATATAACTCACTATTAAACATTACTGATGAAAGAAATTGGCCCATTTTTAATGGGCCAATTTCAGTTTACATGAACTCAGCTGAACCGGCTTTGTGGCCCTCAAAATTAAGAAATTCGTCTAAAATCACACCATTGAAATATTCCTACTTCATATTTCAGGACTAAAAATGGACAAAAACATTTAACTGAAGCTCCAATCAGCCCAGAAGAAAGACTGCATTTGAATCTGATGGGGAAAAATCTGCCTCATATGATGCAGAAACCCTAAAAACATTCATGTTCCCACAAACTCATTAATCTTGGTAATGAATTTAGGAACAAAGAAAATTCTGATTACAACCTAAAGATGGCGCTGTTGAGCTGCGTCTGATTCACAGTCAGTGGCTACAATACAGAAGTTTAAATTCTTAGTTTTCATTATGTGTTTTCTGTGAGCATATTTTATTGTTTCTGTTGTGATTGTGCTGCTGCTGCCACGGCCAGCAGGTCTTCCTTGTAAGAGATATTTGGTCTCAATGGGACTAGCTGATTAATTAAAAGGGTAAACTGAAATAAAATAAAGGAAGACATTGAATGCATCTAAAGTCTTATTAAAAATGTAACATGTATAAATATAAATTACAGTGCACCCAACTTACCAGCAGTCTCACTCAATAAAAAGCACCAAGGAGGAAAAGGGCAGGAGCTCAGTGAATATTCTTAGTTAACATTTGCTACATTATGATTAACTGTCGATTAATGACAGGTTCAGGTCAATTTTTGCATCCCGTCTGCTGCTCCAGTCCTGCAGGGGCTGTAAACAAACCAATCAGCTGCTCTGTCAGTGTGACCCCAACGGAAGTAAAACAAAAGGCTCCAGCATCAGGTTCTGTGGAATCATCCAGAATACGGTTGTTTTATCGTTTCTCAGCTAATATTTCAGTAACCATGTCTTCAGTTCAGCATCTGAGAGATTTTATCAGAGAGCGACTAACTGCTGCTGCTGCAGAAATCTTCTCAGAGGTTGAAAAAACCATCATTTGCTACGAGGAGGAGCTCGATGCTCAGCGCAGGATGATGGGGATCAACTGGAAACCAGAGATAAAACTCAACAGAATCGGTTCGGAGCTGCGGAGACAAAGTTCTGGTAGGTCTGGATGAAGGTGTGTTACATGCAGACAGAGA